TCACCTCGTTCCCCTTCTTTCTCCCGCGTCTTGTTTCCGCGACATTCCGGCGTGCCGCGGGCGGTGGTGGCGGGCAGGACTTGGCCCCCGAGTTCCGGCCACGCCGGCAGTGCGACTGCCCTTCTGAGCGCATGGCGCGGCAGCGTCCTTCCCGGGGGAAGCCTTCGGGCGCGCAGCGGGTCACCTCCTCTCGGGCGCACCTGCTCGCCGTGGGATCACCTGCGGAAGGCAGGCGTCGGCCCGAGACCGCCCGCGCCGCGTGCAAGGGGAAACGCTTCGCCCAGCTGGAGCATCCGAGCCATGCCAGGAGGCGATGGGCGCATGCGACGTGGCCTCTCTGCGACGTTTGCAGAGCCATGGGCGCCCACGGCGTTGGATGCTGCTCGCGCGCGGCAAGTTGATATGCAGCAGAATGTAATGGATCATCTGTTCGTCCACAGCCTCGGCGGCGGGCGTGCCCGCTTGCCCCGCGCCCCGGAGGCGGGTTCGCTTGTTCGCGAAGTCGCCAAAGGCGAACGTGCCAGGCTTGCTCGAGGCCCGCGGGCCTTGAATAGCCGAGTGGTTGTTTGCTGCGTTTTTTCTTTCGCCCGCGGGCTGGTCCCGCAACGGCAGCGAAGACGACCAGTTCGCAGTAAATTGCTTGCCCCCCTCCCTCTCGCGCACCGTCTCCGTGACATTTCGACGCGCGTCGCGCGGCGATGGGGCGGCCGAGTTCGGGCCCCGAGGTCCGGCTGCGCATGCAGGGCGGCTGTCCTCGTCAGCAACGCGCGCGGCGGAGCTTTCTTTGACGGAGCTTTTGGGGGTGCCGCGGCCGCTCTCTCGGGCGCGTCGCGGCTTCCGCTCAGCGTTGGCCGTTGCCGCCCTTCGCCGCGCCACCGCCGGTCGGGACGGTCTTCGCCGCGCGGGGTGCTCTTCGCGCTGGGGCGGCTGGGCAGGGCGTCCAGCCCCGAGCCTCTCTGGCCGTTTCCGTCGCCAGCGGCGCGCGTTTGCGCGAGGGGGGGCGCGCGCCGCGCTGGTTTTCCCCGCGGCGAGGCGCGTGCCTTCGCTTTCGCGCCCGCGCGCGCCCGCGCGCGCCCGCGTCGTCGCGGCGCGCGCCGTCGGACACGTTTTTCTGTTCCTCCTCCAATCCTCAGAATGCTTGCTGAGATCCTAGACGGATTCCAACAAGACCCCGATCGGATTCCAAGGAGAGCCCAAGAGGGTTGCAACATGAACCCAGTAAGATCCCAATCGGACTCCGGATTCTGAGAGGTTTCAAGGAGGACCCCAGCAGGATTTCACCATGATGTTTCACCATAAGAGCTCTCCGTGGGAGCCCCCCGTCTGAATGGCTTTATAAATGAAACTATCGTAGTGCTAAGTTGGCGCGACGATAGTTTAATGTTTAAAACCAACGTTGGAGATAACCGCTGCGCTGTGCAACGTGGAAGGACCACTCCGTACTATACGAACCGAACATCGGGTGCGTGGTTGTTTCTCACTGGCACGCCCTGTTGTGTGCGGGCGTTTTGTGCAATCATCTTGTTTGCTAGCTGAAGTACCGTATCCCCGTGCCTGCCCAGTGCTAACGGCATCGCTCGGCCGTTCCCCCCCCTTCGAGAATTTGATAATTCGTTGCAGCGATGCGGGTAGCGGGGGGGATCGATGATCGTTTCCTCCAGTTCGGGCGGGTATGCCCGCAAAGGTATGGCAGAAGCAACGACGGCAAAGTGGGGCGAAGATCAACCTCAGAGGATCAGGCGATCGCAAACACGGATAAATGGGGCGTGGGCTAGCGACGGGTCCCGCTTCCATGGGAAATCGTGGATTTCTGGCGCCGAACGAGGCGGCACCGCCCGCATTTCACGGAGAGCACTGCTCCCGACCCATGGATTTGGCGACCGCGCACCAAATCATGGATCGCTAATCCATGTTTGTGCGCCCCCGAGAGGAGCGAGCTTGAAAAGTAGGGCAGACCTTTCCGCCCCACTTGCGAAATCGTCCGAAGCACCGCGGATCCGGAGTCAGAGCGGCGTGGAACAGATTGCGGCACCGTGGGGATGCGCAAGCGGAGACCCACGCCCGATCCTTCCGCGGTATGTCTCAAGCCGCATCGATCTGTGGGGGCCCCAGGGGCCGCCCTGATTCCGCCTCGGCCGCAGTTTGGGCGAGTTCTCAAGCATGGCAGATATTCCCGCCGCGAAGCCGGGCGACAATTTCAACGCTCAGACCTCAGGGCCTCCTCGGAGCCCCCGCGCCACGTTTTTTGTCACGACGTCGACCCCCAGAGGTCTCGACCCGGTCCGCGGGACCTGCTTCTCAACCCGGAGCGTGGTGGACCGTCCCCGGGCCTCGTGAGGGCCCGGGGAAGCCGAAGATAGCGACGAGCCTGCCGTCGTGATTTTTGTCCTGGCCTGGGCGGGGGTTCTGGGCCCGCAGGCGGCGCGCCCGAGGCGGCCCGCCGTCTTCACGGCGCTGTGGTGCATCCTGGCGCAGCCGATCCGGCTCGACTCCGACTCAGAGCCGATGCGGCCCGATCCGACGTGCATTTCGATTCGGCCCGATTTCCCCGATTCGATGTTGACTGACCCAGGCCACCTATGAGGATGGTCTCGAGGAGCTTCGTGCTCGGGTTGCCGAGCATGAGGCCAACAGGGCATAAAGGTGGTCACTGTCTTTGGTTCGGCCGATGTGGTGGCCCCCCCCAAAAAAAAACTCCAACCCCGCCGGCGAAAACGCCCGACAACCTCGAGCCCCGATGCCGTCCTCCTCCATCCCCGACCCTCGGTCCCCAACCCTCCATCCCCTCCTCGATCCCCTCCTGGATCCTCGATCCTCGACCGTCCATCCCCTCCTCGACCCTCGATCCTCCATCCTCGATCCCCTCCTCGACCCCCTCCTCGATCCTCGGACCTCGATCCCCTCCCCGACCCTCGATCCCCTGCCCCAGCCCCGGCCCCTCGAGCCCCTCCTCGATCCTCGACCCCCTCGCCGATCCCCGACCCTCGATCCCCTCCTCGACCCTCGACCCCCTCGGCCTTCGACCCTCGAGATCCTCGGCTCTCGAGGGCGCCTCCCACCCGCAGGCGGCGCGCCCCCGCCCGCCGCGCCTGCCGCGCCTGCCGCGCCTGTCGCGGGCCTCCCCCCGCCGCTGCCCGCCCTCGCGGACGCCGCCTGGCCCTGCCCGCCGCCGTCGGCCGCCGCGCCGGGCGCCGCCGGGGGCGCGCGCCGGGCGCCCGCGGCGCCTTCGGCGACGGCTGCCCTCGCCGCGGCGCTGGGCGCTCCGCGCAGGAGCACTCCCGCCGTCGTCGCCACCATCGCCATCATCATCATCATCATCATCATCATCATCATCATCATCATCATCATCATCATCATCATCATCATCATCATCATCATCATCATCATCACATCATCATCATCATCAGCATCAGCATCAGCATCAGCATCAGCATCAGCATCAGCACCACCACCAGCATCATCATCATCATCATCATCATCATCATCATCATCATCACCAGCATCATCATCAGCATTATCATCATCATCACATCAGCATCAGCAGCATCATCACCAGCATCATCACCAGCATCATCATCTTCATCTTCATCTTCATCTTCATCTTCATCTTCATCTTCATATTCATCATCATCATCAGCAGCATCACCATCATCAACAGCATCATCATAAGCAGCATCAGCATCGTCATCATTATCATCATCACCATCATCAGTATCAGCATCAGCATCAGCATCATCAACATCAGCATCAGCATCATCATCATCATCATCAGCAGCATCATCAGCATCCTCATCAGCAGCATCAACATCAGCAGCATCAGCAGCATCATCATCGTCAGCGTCAGCATCTGCATAATCATCAGCATCATCATCAACAACATCAGCATCAGCATCAGCATCAGCATCAGCATCAGCATCAGCATCAGCATCAGCAGCATGATCAACAGCATCATCATCATCATCATGATCATCATCATCATCATCAGCATCATCATTTTGTTCTTGAGCGTAACTATTGCCCGTCTGCCCCCTCCGTGGCCCTTCTTTGGCTCCGCCCAAACGCCGCTCAAGCTTATTCGCCGTTGGCCCATGTCAGCTGCTGCGCAGGCGACGATCAAGGCCGTCGCCTGGCTCGCGGAGGGTGTGCTGAACAGCGGCGTCGTGTCCGAGGCAGGTTCCTGCACATCGCCATCCAGGTGTTCGGCGGTGTGCGCATTGCAGTCGGGGCCGTGTTCATCGTGGGACTGTTGATCGGGTATATCATTGGTATCGGAGCACGCAATATATCAGGCGATGGATTTGGCTGACCATCGTGATTCTTGGGAACCTACAAGGGGGCGCCGAGTTGCAGCCCAGGTGCGTGGTGAAACATGATGCTCCACTGCCACGACGTTGTTGTATAGTGTTTTTTGACGCTGTTGTCGCCCCCCCTCGCCTCCGATTCTCGCAATTTGTTTCCCCAGTGGAATCATCATGGGTGCCCTCGGTCCTGCCCCCCCCATCCCCCTACAGGCGAGAATCTTTGTAGATTCTGGCGCGTTCTTGGGGATTGGTGGATATTTGTCAATGCGTTTTCGATTGGTGTATATTTCTATGTTTTGTTTTCCCTGCAACATTTCGCCAAGATATTTACACCAATCCGCCGGGGCTGGTTTCGCGCCTCATTGGTAGATGTTATGAGGGAGGTTTTCGGGCCTGCGCTGTCAGGGCCCGCCCGTCTTGTCAGAGTCGCGTCACGTGGGCGCCCGTGTCCCATGTCTTTCCCGATATGTTTGTAGGACCCTTACGCAATACAGCGTATTTCGCCTTCGTTCTACTTCGCCGCGCCGTAGACAGCCCGCCCGCGCTGGCACCTGAAAGCAGCAGATCCGCATGAATAAGACGCGTGCAGTTCTGCGCTGTTCCAGCGAAGCGCCTCCCCAGATATATTTCACCCGGCTCCCATGATGGATGTTGTCGCCTGGGGTATGGGAGATCGTGTCGAGACCCAGCGGGGAGCAGGCGGGACATGGCAGGCTCGCATCATCGCGGGCTTCGCCACCGCACTAGAGTTCGAGACAGTGATCGGGACAGCAGCTCCAGCAGGAGCGGAGGAGAGAAACGAGATGTTCTACATGCTCATTCCAGGCGGCGACAGGCTTCTCCACGCCATTCACATTGACATGCTGAGAGGCGCAGTTAGAGTCCACCAATGGCGACCGCGCGTCAGTGGCTGGCACGGCCCCAGCCGCGAACGCACGGTCCTACAGCAGCGATTGGGTGCCCGTGCCGCGGGCGTTCTTGGAGGCAGTGGCGGCCGCGTCGGCTCGATCCTTTGACGAGGTGATGAGGGTGCGCAAGTTGCCGCCGGCGCAGACGGTGGCAGCCTCCGCTTCGGATTTAGTTCCTGAGTGGGAGAGTGTGCCCACGCTGCCTGACCCTGACGACAAGGGGCGGTGCATTATGGCAGGCAGTGGCCACAGCTCCCCAACCTCAAGGGGGACTTCGGTATCGTCGGGGAGGACCTGGGCTTCGTTCGGGTGGGGACGACCTCTTACCTCATCCAGTACGGCAGGTCGGATTCGGCCCTCGGCGCAGGGGTGCTGGCCATCACGGAGACGGCGGGGGACGGGCGCCACTTCGGGCTCAGAGAGGGCGTGCAGCAGCTCACCGAGACGATATTGCCATCCTGGGCATTGGTCGCCCCCCGCACGGCAGGCTTGGCGCGCAGGTTCATCAGGGATCAAAGCGTCGCGCCCTGGTCCCACCATGCTCGCTTCAAGGCGAAGACGAGCTTGTCGGCGACGGACTCTGGGGTCGAGTTTTCTACGAGTTCTGCTTTCGCCTACTGCTGATTGGGATCCAGTTTGACCAGCTGAATGTAGCAGAAATCACAATGTTTGAGTTGATATGCAGGAAAGCCCAGATGATCGGGTGCAAGTACAGGGCCAGTACCTTCATCGTATGGGGTCAGCTGCGGGCGAGCTGGCCGAGGGTGAGCGCATCGATTTGGGCACATCGGAGACGCGTGGGTTGACGATGATCTCGCCAGCTCCGTCTACAAAAGCGGCTGATGAATTACATAAGGAAGCGAGCGCCTTGAAGGAGGGGCGCAGGGTTCGCCAGGAACGTTCTTCAGCACGTCGCGGAATATGCAGCGGTGCAGGACCAGGTGGCGATGAGCGATCGGGTCTTTAGGGTCGGGCCGACAAGTTCGCGAGTGTACAAGACTTTGAGGGATAGGCTAGGTTGGCGGACATGGACTCCAAGGGGAAGGGCAAGCTGCGGCCGCGGACAGCAAGTGAATGGGTTATCATGGCCGCGCGGCGGGAGTTGTTCCCGATTCCCGTGGCATTGCGGGCCGAGGCGGACTTCGACGGCTTCGTCTCCTCGGCTCGACATCGAAGCGCTGCGCGGCATGAATTGGTTGCGCGGGCGCGGCGTGCTCAGCGATTTCGAGGCCCTCTCCTTGGAGCGAGCCCATGTCATCGAGCAAATGAGTACCCGAATTGAGGCCCTTGGCGCGCTTTCTTGCACGCCCATGGCGGCCCCCGCGGAGCTGCGCCGAACTGCGCCGGGCTGCGACTGCGGCCCCGCGGAATCCATCGCGTGCACCGAAGGTCGCGTGGTGAGCGTGCCCAGCAGCGGCACGAAGTGCAACGTTTTGGAGCTGTTGACGGGCCGCCCGCGCGAGTTGCGGCACGACTGGCGTCAGCGTTTGCTGCGTGACCCGCATCAGCGCCGCGATTCTGTCCTTCCTCATTCTGCTGAGAAGCTTCGGCGGTCGCCTCGCCGCTACGCGCGCTTCTTGAACGAATTACACAATGCAGGAATGTTTCGTTTTTCTTCCCATCGCAATTCGAAGGCGGGTTTTCTCTTTTCGCTGAGAAGTCAGGGAACCAGCTCGGGGCGGTTCTGGACACGGGGGCCGTGAATCAGGAGTTCGTCGATCCCGATAACGCGGCATTACCATCCGCGGTCGTCTAGCGCGGGCCCAGGATCCACGCGAACCGCAATTTGTCGCTGAGCCAGGTGAACAGCGAGGCGGCCTTACACTGCGTCACCATGGCCGAGGGCCTGGACGAGATGTTCGCGCTGCCCGCGGTGTCGGTGGAGGCGTTGCTCGAGGTGCTACCTGGGACCGACGTTTGTTTGCGGCGGACTGGCAAGGTCCTGCCGTTTCTCGCCGCGCCGCCCACGGGGTGGAGCTAGAACCCGCACTTTTGCTGGGCCCTGGTGCTCGCCCAGGTGATCGCTACGGGCGTCGGGCAGCACTGCGTCGCCCAGGATCGGCGCGCGGTGCCCGACGTGTCCCGTGAGGCTGGGGCGGCGGCGCACGTGGGCGGGGTGGCGGCAGTCGGTCGCGACCAGCAGGTTGTCGAAGCCACCGCCCAGATGGCGCGCCAGCAGCTGGAGGCCAGCAACCTGGAAGTGCATGGGCGTGCGCGCAGACGCGCTGGACCCAGAGCTCACGGGGCTCATCCTCGACTTTGGGGCGGGCCGCATCTCCGCGAGCGCGGGCCGCATCTGGCGCCCGCGTTGGCGCTCTCGGAGGTGGCCGAGCGCGGGCTCTGCAGCGGCGACGACGTGACGACGTGCTGGCACTCGTGGGGTACTACGCGTGGGCGGCCATTCCCAGGCGTTGCCTCTTGGGCGCATTCCACAGCGCCTGCCGCTTCGATCGGGCCGCGGGCTCGCGCCGTTGGCGGCTGTGGCCCGAGGTTTGCTCGGAATGTCGCGCTGCTGCGGCTCTCATTGCCTTCGCCTACCTGGATGCCAAGCTGGCCGCAGACCCAGTGGCCCTAGCCGCGGATGCCTCGACGGGTTCAGGCGACCCGGGCGGCGAGAGCTTCCGGAGGTGCGCAGTCAGGAGCGAGCGCCGTTGCCTCGACCCCGCCGCCGAGAGCGCTGCCCAACCGCCCGGCGTCGAGACGGGCCCGATGGACGGAAGCGGCGGCGCCGCTGGCGCCGGCCACCGCGCCGAGTCCGACGCCGCGCGCAGCAGCGACAGCGAGACGGAGAGGGCGCCCACCGACGCGGGCCGAGATTCTGAGACAGCAGCGATCATCGGCCAGAGCCGACCACCATCGCGACGTTCGGGGCGACGTCGAGCCCGGGCTGAGCTTCTTGCAGACCAACAAGCTCAAACCATCGACGCGCGCCGCCTCCAGGGAGCGAGCGCGCAACTTCCTCGAGTGGGCCAAAGAGGGTCACTCCGCGAGATCTCGGTCCGTCGCTCCGACCAGCTCGCCGCGAAGTGCGAGGACGTGTTGTTCTCCTGCGGGATTCAGGGCGGCGAAGGGTCGAGGCTCTTACCTGCGACCGAACTTGGGCACCGCCAAGCACGGCAATACGTCCCAGAGGCACGGGCAGCGCTGGCAGGCTTCCGCCGTCCGGCGCACGGGAACTCCCGAGAGCCCTTGTGCCGCCCGTGGGTGCTGGCCGTCGTGGGCATCAGTCAGTCTGCTGCTGGAGGACTTGGATCTCGCGACGGCGCTGCGACTGGCCTGGGGCGGCATGCTCCGCCTGCCGTCGGACCTGGCTGGCATGACCGCGAGGGCCCTCGTCGGTTCTGACAGGGGTCCGAAGCCTGTCTGGGCCCTGCTGCAGCACCCAAACTGCGAAGAGACGAGGAGCAGGGGGGGGTCCATCGCGAGACCTGCTGGGCTCAAGGAGGCGGGGTAGCCCTGAAGCGTCTACGGGGCACCAGGGCCCACGGTTGCCTGCTCCGCGCATTCGACGGCCCGTGGTGCACCGAGCGTTTCGACGAGCGGTCGGCAGCCGTGCCTGAGGCGCCCACGGCCGTGGTCTACCAAGTGCGCCACGGGGCCGCGAGCCAAGAGGCCGCGGTCGACCAGATGCCCTTGACCTCCGTGACCGAGCGGCTCCGCCACATGAACCCGCACAACAGCTTGCGCTACGCCAAGCACGTCCGCTACCTCGCCCTGCTCGACAGCGCGCCGCAGGCCGTGGCCCAGTGGGGCGACGTGATCCACGAGCGGCCAGCAGGCTTAACTAATCAACGGCACGGACATCCTCGAGGCCCCCGCCTTCTCGCCGCCAAGCGTGCTGCCGACCTTGCGCGGCAGCTGCGCAAATGCGCCCGCTTCGGCTGCCAGGGAAAAAAGGTGGAGTCTTCCTCGAAGTAGTTTTCTCTACGGATGAAATATCGAAGAGCTTCAGTCAGAGTGCTGAGCACTCAGCTTGTGGGTGCATGCCTCCTTGTGTGATACGGGCGTCGTGAGAAAGATGCGCATGGGGTGGGTCGCGTCTCGCATCGTGCACGGCATTCGCGTGGCTTCTCCCGACTTCGGTGCCAACCACAGGAAGAGTCAACTGCGAGCTGCGCTCGTCCATCCGCCAATGCGCCTGCTAACTATTGCCACTGTTGCCTTTTTGTTCCGCTGGGTGCCCAGCGAGTGTCATCAGTCCAGGGAGTGATCAACCCCTGGCTGTCCGTGAGTATCTCGGTTTCTGGGGCCGCCGTCGCGGAGCTCGGTCCTCCGGGGTGGCCCCTCGCTCGTTTCCGCCTTCGGGGCGCCACAGGGGCGCTCTTCATCTCGACGGCCCCGGTCGGCCCGTGTTCAATGTTGCCGGCCAGTGTTGTCACGGCCGTGGTGCGACCCTTTGTGGATCGCCGTTCGTTTTCCTGGGGCGCTCGCTGGCCGCTCGCAGCAGTACTCATCTCAGAACGGCCGCCGACAGGATTCATATTCATAATTTATATTGCGAAGGCCTGACGGCCGGTGCCGCCGACCCTGTTCGCAATGCGCAGCAAGAGATTACGAGGTTGCTCAAGGTCGGCTTGGCTGGAGCCCAGGGGAAGAGGAGTCCCAGGGGGGGGCGTCGTATCTGACCCGGGGGGGGGGGTCGCTACCCCCCCCCCCTCCCGGCGGGGGAGGGATCAAAGGGAAGGGGCTTCCCTTCGACTCAATTACGAGGTTGCTCAAGGTCGGCTTGGCTGGAGCCCAGGGGAAGAGGAGTCCCAGGGGGGGAGCGTCGTATCTGACCCGGGGGGGGGTCGACACCCCCCCCCCCTCCCGGCGGGGGAGGGGGTATCTGAAAGGGAAGGGGCTTCCCTTCGACTCAATTACGAGGTTGCTCAAGGTCGGCTTGGGCTGGAGCCCAGGGGAAGAGGAGTCCCGGGGGGGCGTCGTATCTGACCCCGGGGGGGGGTCGACACCCCCCCCCCC